GAGAAAGTTATCTAATATCATCGTTAGGGTTTAATATATCTTAAAAGAGCTCAAATACTATTCTAAAATATTAAATTTGTAAAATCTCGCTCTTTAAAAGCAAATAATATTCTTATAAAAACTTAGATGTTGCTAAAGGTTTAGCCCAATAGTCCAAATTACGTCCAACGCCTAAAATTCCACCTTATATACGTATTTTTTAATAGTTTGTGGCTTTGAGCAATTCTTTTGTCCCTTTTATTTTAAAAAAATAGCCCCAAATATTGTTTATTGCATTAAATTAGTTCAAAAAATATTTATCTCTATAATTAATCCTAATTGTTTCTATGTTTCTATATATATATAGTGTAGAGACACAAAAATTATAAGAATCGTGTTACATGCACAATCTAGATTGACAATCTTAGTTCACAACTCACACTTGACAACATCACATTCATCCATTTTAAAAACTGTTTTTAAATCAATGGTCCAAATTTTGACAACACCAGCATTGTCAACCATTACTGACAAGTATGATTGTATAAATAACATAATTGTGAATTATAATTCTTTCTAGGATCTCTTGTCCCGTATTCGAGAACGTGAATGTACATTTGTTTATCTTTTCTATTTATATTTAACTAAGTACATAATTCGAAACCTTAGAAATCTTGACACCGTGCAACAATATTATTAAATAGAGCTATATTAGCAAATTCAAATCTGTGAAGCTTTTGTCCTACCCAACTTGACCCTTATGAAGCTGTCTCAACTGGATCGAGTTAATAATTTTGCTAAAACAATTTTTTTTTATTTTTATATTTATTTTCAACCATATATTCACACAATAAAATATTTTGCACGTAAACTTACAATTTTTCATAGTTTTTAACCACACATTCTCCAAAAAATCACTATTTAAAAAATATTTTTTTCTCAATGGCCATCAAGAAAATAATTATGCTAATTGTACATTGTGTGGGTGATATCTTTGTTTACATTCCATGGGAGTTCAAAAAGTGTTGGGCGAGAAAATATATATTTTTTAAATTGTTTAATCATGTGTCGCTACGTGAGTCAAAAACGATGTAAAAAAAAATGTACACATATTGTCAAACAAATAGAGGCTAATTGACAACATGGTGGAAGTTGTTTGAAATTCTAGACTCCATTTCTGAAAAGTTGAATTTTACAGCATTTGTTTTTTGAACCCTGCTGGGCTGCCAGGGAGGGTGTCTGACAGGCCACTCACAACATGGGGGGTGGAGGGAATTTTTTTCTTTTTTAATTCATATGTGCCCCGCATGGGTCCCACCACAAATGTGAGAGGATGCCAACCAAAGTATCAAATTTATTCGAGCAAAGTGGCATTTTCCTTATTTTTTATTTTTTATTTTGTTGGGATGATACGAGAACGAGTGATGATTCACGTACAGGGGCAGGTGGTTTCACTGCCAGGCTACTAATACAAGGGGGGAGGGGTGCATTTTTTTTCCATTTTTCAAAATATGTGGGGCCCGCCAGTGTGAGTAACCAGGCCGGCCCCTGTAAAATATGCTCCGGAGCATTTTTCTATGAGAATAAGGTCTTAGGATGGCCATAGATTCTAGAATGGGACCCACACTGGAAATTTCATAGTAATGTTGATGCCAGCACTTCTTTCTGCCTAACCCACAATTCAAAACTCAAAAGCACAGAAAATTGTGTGTAATACTCCAAGAAATCTCCAATCCAACTCGACTTCTTCACCATTATTGATTGATTGTGAGTTGGGCGTATCTGTTAAAGTTCTTGAGCTATTCCTTCTCTCAAAAAGAAAATAATTGATGCGAAGTTGGCATGTTTAATTATAGACATTGTTTTAATTCTTAGAGTCAAATTCGATCAAAATTTAACACGAACAAGATAGAGTTCAATCAAGAAATTCAGGTTGGTCGTCCCCACAAGCATGGTGTAATGATAAAGAATGAGAGTTTTAAAAGGAGTTCGGAGATTAATATCCCCGCAACAACTAGAATATAATATTTATGTTCAAAGACAGATGTACACTAGAGATAAAAGTCTTGGTGCTCTATATTACTCCTCCATTAGTCCGGTTCGCTTGTTGTGAAGGGGGTCCATAGCAATCAAAGTAGTTCGTCCCCCTTCTCAAGTTTCAGATGTCAACTCTTTCACATGGTGTTCCATATTCTAAGATTACTTTACTCTGCCCATTTTGTCTTGATTTCCGATTAATGAACAAGAAGGAAAATTGTACTCTTTATTTTTTTTTTGACTCGCCCTGATCCAAGTTTTCATAAGTTCTGATTGCATCCGATTACTCAAGTGGCGAATTAGGGGAAAGCCGTCACTCCTCAAGATTAGTTGAGTTAAACTTGGACGCCGAAGTCATAAATTAAAAATAAAATTTAAAAAAATCAGTTTGGTCACTAATTACTAAGCTAACATCGTGCTCATCAATATAACAAATATCTGTTGTCAAACGGAAAATATAGCCTAAACAGCGAAAAGTATTAGGACGAAGAGAACTAAATAAGTACACGAAAATCCTCATGTGTCAAGTACGAGAGGTTTAGTTCATCCTAACCGAAGACATATATGTCACTAATTTACTACACAAATAGAGGTGTATAGAGAAAGCCATATGAAGGAGTGGATATTTCTTTGATGCTTTTTATCAGCTTTCATTCATTCAAACTCACAATTAATTCAAAATGCTCAGTACGGATAAAGGCTTATTTAGTGGATGATTACATTCTGTAGATCACCTTTAGCATATATGGGCACTACCAATGGCACATAGCAAAGCATGGAACATTTGCACACTTTCTGTAAAGCACATTACTTAAAAACCAATATAGGCTCAGATTCTTCAACTTTCTACCAAGTCTGATTCAGAAGAACGAAGTGAATCATCTGTGTTAAAAAATTACAAGTCCGTGGCATGGTGCTGAGAAGCTGAGAATGGTTTTTGTTCTCAGGGTGAGTGAATGGCGTATAGGTTTGTGTGCTCAAGTGTTCACTGATAAGTGCGTTTTACACACTTATTTCGGTTCACAAACATGGATAATTGTTAATAAATATGTGGAATATAGCTTAATTCGATGTAAATTGTGTTTTGCAGGACAACACTAATGAGTATGGCGGAAATGAGAAGAAAAATGAAAAAATGGACTAAAACGAAAGAAAATAAAAGTTCGGGGATCAATGTGCAAATAACCGAAAGATACCCCGGAAGAGGAATTGGAGACGTGAAGATGTCGAAGTCTAATTGAGCATAGGAAAAACACACTGGAGAAAGAAGGTGTGGAAAAATAGGCTAAGAAATGCAAAATAGAGTTCAAAGACCAAATCGCAAAGCCATAGAAGTGTCTTAGTATTATGCGGTCACATAGGTTGCTTCAGAGATTTCCCAAGCCATTTCAGTACTTCTATGTGACCGTATAAAAGTGCACTATACAAATTTTTGGGCGAAATTCTAGTTTCCTTTTTCGAGTCAACTACTCATGGAAACAAATATTGGAATGTATATTTAAACCATAGGACCGTCCAGAACGGGAGAGAGAGGTTAGACAAGAGTTTTGAGAGTGAAAAAGAGACACAAACACGGAGAATAACATCACGACACAAAGATTTAATTCAAGAATTAAAATTGGTGATGTCGTTCTTCATTGATTTTGCTGATTTTCGTTGTTTTACCATGCTATGCTAAATTCATTCTGTACTAGGGTTAGATGAACCGTGTAATATGATTTTCAATTCTTAGTTTTATATTCTTGACAATCAAAAACACGTTTTGAATATTTGAATGATTTATATGAGTTTCTTTTTCTCCATAATTATTTTATATGTAATTGTGTGAGTTTGGTGGCTTGTTTCATGTATTTGAAAGAAGGGGAATAAGTTCGCCGTGATATAAATCATCATAGGGTTCAATAAGGGATAGAAATATATCGCTATACTCTATGTGAATAGTTAATTATTCATAAAATCTCATGCATTCTTTTATGTTCACATCCGTCATAGAGATATAGTTGAGTGGCATATTGGAATAGGTTACTCAATAGAGATTGTTAAATAATTTAGGAACATTGATTCTTCACTATTTCAATAGTGTGTCAAAGTGTAGAATTGAGTATTAATAGGAACATTGATTCTTCATTATTTTAATCGTGTGTCAAAGTGTAGAACTAGGTTTCGAGAAGAATATTACATATGGATTCGTGATCCTAATACATTCATCACATATTAAAAAACACTTCAATTTATATTCATCGCCAATTTGCATTTAGTTAATTAATTCATTGATAATTGCATACTCATTATTAATTTAGTTATAATTTCATCAAAACAAACATCTCACTTTTTATTATTTCGGTTAAGGTCACAATAAATTGAATTGGAACTAATCAATTCTTGTAGGACGATACTTAGACTCAAAATGTTCACTTTATTACTTGTCAACGAACTGTACACTTACGGTGATTTTAATTCAAAATATATTTTCGTGAACATTCACATCAGTACGTGTTTAACACCTAGTTACCTGGGAGAAACCAGTAGCCGAAGATTGAAAGAAACATCGCTGTCTATGTCCATACGACTGTAGATGCCATGGGCAACAATTGAACCTGCTTACTAAGATCAACAGCAGAAAAATTTGGACATCCATGTTTGAGGAATTTAACAGCAGAATACAAGTGACAGAATCAATACATTTACAAGTCCCAATAATAATTGAGATTGTTTGGAAGGAAAGAACAATACATTAAGTTCCCTAGAAATTCATTCTTTATCTGGTGTTTATTGAGGGAATACATAAAACTATCCCGGGTTGGGAGAAAAAGGATAAAAAAAAAAAAACTTGTTCTTCGTGTGTTTAACCTTTTAGACCCCTTGAGCAACATGATCACAAGAAGAGCAACTGTTACAGGTTTCTAGACATACAACATAATATTAGTAAGAATCATAAAGAATATTGACCTACTTAAAGATAATCTTGAAGCAATTGTGTCTACTTAAGCCACAATCTGCTCATGCTCTATGTACAACTGATCGACCCAATGGGGAGCAATATCACGAGCCCGGACATGCTGCTGCTCTAAACTGTATCGTGCAGCATCGTTAGATGGAACATCTTTTACTAACGAATGAACCCAAGATACATCTGGATCATCTACATTTGGTGGAGCCATTGCTGTTGACAACCCAGCATTACCACTTCGAATACCAAAAGAGGCTGACTTCCTATACTTGTTTGAATCTTCACAGTTAAAGCCCCAGTCGAGTTTTCCATCAGGGGAGCTCCATTCTGACAGTTTAGATGGCATCAAACTCGGGGAATTAGAAGCACCAGAAAGGCAGGACCGATGGCCAACTCCACCACTACGGTCAATAAAGCTCTGGCTGCGTTTCGCAAACGAAGAAGATCTCGAGTTCATGACTGCTGCTGCCACTGCTGCAGACGAGTCGTACCCAAAAGTGGCCGGCTTCCTTGCTGGGGAGGATGACAAGTTGGACGGGTAGCTTGCACGGAGTTGGCTTGTGTTTTGATGAATCTGAACCCCATTTGGACCCTGCAATTGAGATAATATCGAAGGATCAAGCGATCCAAAAACATCATCAAGATTAGTGGGCCTCAAATCTGTAATTTTGCTGTATGGGGACGAGAGATTTGCCATCTCATCTGCCAACTGCTGCCTTTGTTGGTATTGTGTTCGGATTTTTTCCAATCCAAGCAAATCCATATCCAACTCCATATCTCTTGCGCTGAGAATCGTCTTGAGTCTGCTTCCTGGCAGCTGCAAAGCAGGAGGTGTGAGGTTTGCCTTGTGCTGCCGCATACTTCCACCCATGGGAGACGAACATGTAACCGATGGTGAAATTGGTGGAGTTGAAGTATTAGGGTACATCAAAGAAGATGAGCCAAGAGACAATGGGCTCAATGTTGTCAAGTCCATTGAGTTAACTGAAACAGACTTTGGCGAAGGCAAACCTGAACCTGTAGAGGCATACAGAGGACGCAACTCTTCGGGCTTATGTGCAAAAAAGCACACTTTCCTTGGACATCCAGTCTCGTCCTTGCAAAGCCGGGTTCTGTATTGGGCAGGATGTAGCCAGGACTCAAAAACGCCATGAGCATATTCACAGGAATCACCCTTTGCACACGCTCCCTTCTTAAACTCGGGGCAGGGGACACAAGTGTAGGGATGCTTCCTTGGATCACGCCTCCTCGCATTCTCACCAGGATGAACAAAAGGGCATTCTGTCCAATCATGAGAATAAGCTCTCGAGCATGGCTTCACCTTGAAACTATACATCCTAAATTCATCAGTTCCATATATCCCGTTGTTAATATCTGGCAACGAAACATCAATTGGATATTCTTTCTTCTCATTCCCTCCCTCTTTTGCCACCAGGGGTTGTTTAATTCCTTGTTCTTCTTCTTGATCACCAGCCTCAAAGCTAATCCCTTTCAACAGCATCTCCAAGGTTCTCCTCTTCGAATTGTTTGAGAACTTCAGATGCGGTGAAATTAGGTCACCAGGTTTATTCCCATTGGCATCGACAGCATTGACATCTGCAGAGGCATTGATTAGGAGCTTCACAACCTCAATCGATGAATCCGAACCCCCTGCCACAGCACAATGAAGAGCAGTAACCCCATCTGAGCCACATGCTCTGTTGACATCAACCTTTTGAGACCCGATAACATACTTCAAAACCTCGATGCTTCCGTACAAGGAAGCAATCATAAGAGATGTTCTCTCTTCAAACCCCATCTTCTTTGAACTAAAGCTTCTGCCATACCAAATGCTCACCTCGTCAAAATTAGAACCCTTCTCTTCTACTAGAGAAATAAAGCTTGCCACATCATCCATGGCTGCCAGTTCAAGCAACTTTGAGCAACCTTTAAACACAGCCCTTCTCTTAATTTTTTGAATTTCAGCCTCCATTTTCATATCAAAAGGGTAAATTTTGCTCTCTGAACCAGTGCACGCCAAACCCTAAAGACAAATCAAAGAACAAACAAACTTAGTAATCATAATTATATTTATTCAATAAATTCAAACCAACAATATTGTTGTTATTACCTAGTCTCTCCTAAAAAAACAATTCCTTCATTACAAAACAATGAATCATTCCACCATATAGACAGGGTGTCATCTTACGTACTCTTCCAGCAAAATCGTATAAACTTTAAAACATGAAAATTAAACACAAGATACGTTCGGTCCATTCAATTCACAAACCACAACATAAAAATTCAGTCTTTTGACATTTACAACCGCCTACCAACTATAAAAAGAATTTACTCAGAAAAAGACCATGAAAAATGGAAAAGAATAATAAGAAAAACAAGAAGTCTTTGGTCTATGAATGCTTACCTTGAATAAGGTGGATGAGATTTCTTCAATTCAAAGATTTTCAACAAAAAATTTGTGCATTAAACGAAATGGTCCGTCTTATGGTATTGTGGAATGCTGAGACTTTGTGGGGTTTATATATACGTGCATTTCATCAAAAAATTTCAAAGGACATAACCGTGTGGGCAGGAAAGAAGAAGGAAATTGTGACTTTTCTTCTTGCTTTTTAGCAAAAACTGCATCATTAGTCACTATGATATTATCCAAGTAACAAATTGATCCTCAATATATAAAAAGGAAGCAAGTTTATTTGTAATTGTACAATAGTGTTGGTATTATGTTTATTAAGGCCCGTTTGGTAAGATTTTAACAGTCATAATGAGATTTTAAGATTCAAAAGTTATTTTTTTGTTTGGCTGCTTCTGATAGTTATAAAAGTTTTCAAAGAAAGTTGATTCAAAGTGAATTCCTCCAAAAACACTTTCGAAATATAAGGTACTTTTAAAAATTAGTTTAATACAAAAATTAACGTAGTTTTCTCTGAAAGTTCCTTTACAAAAAACAAAAGTAAAAGTCATGTAAAACGGGTCATAAATCACTTCTTATCCATATATTTTCACGGATTAAAATTATTAACAACTTTCCATCACTCATATCTATTTATTTTTAATTTAAACTATTTGTAAAAATTCCCAAACATGTTTAAGAGTAATGCTAGCAATGCTAACGATCACCAAGCAATCAGACAGTGAGTTGTTATCACATTGTCTGTTAAAGTTAGAATACACTTCTATTCATGCGATTGTGTAATACTGACTCACTATCACATTGAATAATAAACATCTGCACTGCTGATAAACATAATTATATTAAAATTAATTATTAAACTATCTTTTAATCCTCTTGAAAATATTTTTGACTTTCAATTTATAAACTCCCCCCAAAGTTAAAAAGCGATACCTAGCTTTATAAATTAGACATGTGAAAGTTACATGGCAATTTACTGGAGATTTGGACATCGTCGTCTTTTAGTTTAGAGAGTAACTCGCTAATGGGGTAGTAAATTGGGACTGAAATTGAAAATTTCCAATTTTCCGTCAAGGCTTCAGCTTTTTGTTACTTCAGTCAAAGTCAAATCTTCAAAGCGGGCCCACCCAATCGTACTGGTTCAAGTTTATCCCATAGAAAATGCAAATGCAAATGCAATGCAGATGAAATGTAAATTTAAATGTAAACTCAAATGGAGCACTAATACGGGGGAACATAGTGGGTCCCACTTTAACTTTTTCTAATATCAAAACCGGATAACCGGTTTTTCCTGTCACGCGGAGGGTTCACTCTGTTGGAATTTTTAATTCCTGTCTGTCCCCAGTCGGCGCGTGCACAGCTAATTTTATTTTTGTTAAACTTAAAGGAGAAAATATTCATAATTTAGCAAACATATACGAGCGTGTTCCATATATATTAAAATCGGATTAAAATTGAAAAATTAGTCGTTATTGTTGACTTTTATTAGACGAGTGAGACCCAATAATGATTATATTTTCAATTTTAATTGAATTTTGAAATGTACCAAACAAGCTCATAGATTTTCAATTATTTTTATTTTGTTGCCACCGTTTATTTGTACTTAAGATCCTCACACTTTGTTCATTGTAACGCTTATACCTAACTTTTCGTTAAATTATTATTTTTAATTTTTCATTAATTAGCATATTTTCTCGTTTTTGTGCATATTTTGTTTATGTGAGGAAAATATGTGTGTAGCATTTTTATATTTATTATTTTCTTAATATGATGAAAAAATAAGGCAATTTAAGCTTTTTTATCGTTAAAAGAGACAACATGAGCTAATTAATAAAAGATTTAAGCATACGAATGTAACAAAAAAATAAAAATATATAAATGCTATAATGGGCAAAGAATGAAAATCTTAAGTGCAATTAAAATATAACGTAACAAATGAAAATTTTGTTGCAAATATAATTACTTTTTTAATTAAATACGACGTAATTAACAAATTTAACGTGCCCCCTTATTAAATTAGAAAACAAAAATGAAAATAAAAAAACTAGAGGATAATACAAAATGTTTCGTAACATCAAAGTAGTGTTGTCGAATTTAGCACACAAAAAGGGTTAATTTCATCCATAGCCATTGAATTTTAATTTGTTTCACCACGACCACCAAATTTTATAAGGCAAATAGTATTAGGGTTCTATAACCTTTGAACATTTTGAGAATAAACCATAAGCCTTTAATTTCTAGTACTCGGAGTTCAAAAACTTTCAAACGTCTGGGTCTGAGGTCCTATTATAATGGAAAATGTTAGTTTACGCAAAATTATTTATTTTTACTAGTTATTTATTTATTTATTCTTACCTTTTATGAATTTTTCTCTCATAAAAGAAAAAAATGAAAATAATCCGTAATAAATACCAATTCAATCACGCATGCATTCCTAACAATTTTTTATGTTTCAAAATTTCCAAAAATGAATAAGAAATTTGTTTTTAACTACAAAACAAGAAATAATATCAAAAAAATGTAACAAAAAATTATTCAACAGAAGATAGATTAAGATTTCTTATTCTTTTACAATATTGGAAGAGTGAAATCAAGTATTTTCTATATTTAATATTTTATTAACATATAAAAATTATTTGTTACAATATTGTATAATATGTTATGAAATAATAATAATAGAACAAGAAGAGAATAAAATATAAGAGTTAAAACTCATATGTGTATTTTATTGAAAATCAAGATCAATATTTATAGGGTCTAAAATAAGAGTTACAATTAGAATGAAATAGATTCTTTGAATTAAATAAGACTTATCTATATATTATGGTAATACTAACTAATTATTAATAA